GAGTATGCGTGTTTCGGAGACACAGCACACGTCAATGGTAAGAGACTCTAGGGTTTTAGCCAAGGAAGCCTGCTGACCAATTTGACATAGGGTTCGTACGTTGAAGGCTCCAATGTGTAGTTTGGAGCGAGGTTTCAGTAGACCTGGGACAGTATTTTGCGCACTAGAATCGTTGGCTATGGTGACACTTGAGGTGGAAGCCGAGAGAGGAAATTTAAAGTTGAAAGTCGATGTAGGAGGAATAATAGGAATTGAAGAGGAAGGTTGATTATGAATACAGTGGTCTTGAGTGCTGTTAGAGGTATGAGGGCGGTTTTCACTTCCCGGTTGCCCACACCGTGGAAGGGTTGTTCTGGAGGTACCTGAAAAGGAATTTGGATTAAAGGTGGTCTTAGTGACCTGAGAGCGTGACCGCAGTGCCCAAGGGACAGCTGCTTGAGGTCGGTCACACACGACCTTGTTATGGGTAATTTTTGTGTTAGCTCCGTACTTATTGGGACCTTACCGCCGGAGACGGATATCCGTGGGATAAGGCGAGGTGTGCATTCTTAGGGTCGACCTTTTCTAACCCCACCCCTCCTTGTGGGAAGGCAGCATCGCTGTCATGCCGGTTGTCTGAAGGAAACACCTTACTGCTGTCACACCTCTGTACAGTCAGCAGTACGACTTCGCCTTCGGACCTTGGGTTTGTTGCTTTTAGTCTTACCGCTCTTCAACCGACCTGTCTGACATGGTAGGACCTTGAGGAACGGTTGTTCCAGCCAGTATAGCTCGGTTGCTTCATCACGATAGGCAAGCCCGACCACCACGTCAAGGTAGCAACAACGGTCGGGAAGCTACTGGTATTCGACAACAGACGTCTTGGAAATATCGCTTGTATATGCTGCGATCACCGAGTAAGTAATAGTGAGGTTAGACGCAGGGTATTAGAAAATAATTAATCAGTTGATGAGTTTGTGAATCTTCATCGACTGAGATGGTTAGGTCACTTGTTGCGTATGCCTGAACACCGCTTATCATGGCATGCAATGCTAACAGGTGTTGGGGGTGGTTGAAGAAAGTTAGGGGCGGCCAAACCAAAACGTGGTATCAGTGCTTGAAGTCACTAACTTCTAGTCTGATCCATGTTGGTAGATGCAGACTACTTGGTTGGGGTGTGCGTGTTTATCGTAACCAATGGTTAGAGACTCTGAGTGACATCGCTCAGAATCGATCACAATGGCGTAGGTGTGCCATCCTGTTGAAAAAAACCTTTGTAAGAGACGCTAACCACAAAAAATCATTTTAACTCTTCATACTCTGCCCTGAGGATCAAAGAGTCTTCATAGAAGTTATGATGCCTCACAGTGAAAGCCGAGATTCATCATGAGGCTGGTACCCTTTCTGACGACGATACATGGAATGTCTGGAAAATATAGGAGACCGGAAGCACCATTTAAATAACTGCGGAAGTGATAAATTGTAGTCTGTCAGTACCTGGAATGAGGGAAACCCATTGGATGCAATCTAGACAGAAAAAAACTAGCGTAAGGAGAGGTGTTATTGTACTCTAGTTATGAAGCAGAAAATGCTTCGCAAACACAAGTATTTGCACCGATGTACTCCAAAGAAGCACGAAGACCGCCTGTAGGCTGGGAACTTCATGAATCTAGGATCACCAAAGCACCATTCAGAACACAGGCAGTGACCTACAATGAATTCCATCCAGTGCTACTAGCACGCCAATCATAGGAGTAAGGATTGATCGTGCACCGACCGAACTGCGACATTATAGATCATTGTTGAGAAGTCGGTTGAATGGAACTCATCACCATACATCAAATTCCTTGACAGCGTGAATAGGAGAACCTTGTTGAATCTTCGACACTATGGAGTAACTGAGAAAACCGTCACCATCATACGGAACTCTTAAGACGGACTTCATTGCAAAGTCGTGCATAGAAGACTGATGACAGACACATTCCTAGTAAAGACCGGAGTCAGACAAGGCTGCTTACTCTCCCCCTTTCTCTTTCTTCTGGTTGTCGACTGGATTATGAAGATCGTCGAATCTGAGGGGAAGCACAGAGTACTGTGGACAGCTTACATGCAACCAGACCATTTAGACTTCACAGACGATCTAGCTCTTCCTCCCATACACACCAACAAATGCAGATGAAGACAACCAATGTAGCAGCAGCCTCAACATACAGAATGTAAAACCAATATACTCAAATACAACACGGGGAACACCAACCTAATCACACCTGATGGAGAAACTTTGTAAGAGCTGGGAGCTTTAACATACCTGATCAGCATCATTGATAAACAAGGTGGATGTAATGCAGGGGTGAAAGCACAGATTTACAAAGCAAGGTCAGCACTCCTACAACTGAAGAATATCTAGGACTCATAACAATTGTCAGCCAACATTAAAGTCAAACTTTGCAATACAGATGTTAAGACGGTTTGTTATACGGAGCTCAGTCAGTCAGTAAGAACGTAGAACTACATACGTTCGTACATCAGTTCGAGTCGCCATACCACATTAGCACACAGATACAATTGTCGATTCAAATCCCATTGTGGTAAAGGTAGTAAGAGTATAGGCAGTAATTGGAAAGATTAGCATTTGAAGATTTTATTCAATGAGTATAATCCAGTGAAATAAATTTAGAAAGAAAACAAGGGACATGAAGAATTCAGAAGATTAGAATTTGGGAGAACACAAGGAGTGGATGCACTTGCACCATTGCAAACAATTTTGAGCCATGTCATCCAGGGTCTCTAACCATCGGTCGCCATCATCTCGCGGTTCCCAACCAGGTAGTCTACATATACCAACATGGCTCGGTCCACTTGTCAGTGACTTCATGGATTTGTACCATGCTTTGGTCTGGCCGCCCCTAGCTTTTTTCCAACCTGCTCCTACACGATGAAACATCGCACGTCAAGGCAGTTGGTGGTTGGGCATACGTAACATGTCCCAGCCATCTCAACTGATGAAGTTTCACCACTTCATCAATCGATTTGCCATCCTTACCTAGTACTCGTTTCCTAGCCAATCAGCGTGCACCAAAGCAATCATGCATTGAGCATGCTTTAATCTAGTCTATGTCCCGCTAACAGGGCCTTACCACCGTAGACGAAAATCCGTGAGGTAAGGTGAGGTGTGACATTTTTACGGTCGACCTTTTGTGACCCCTTTCTTCCTTGTGAGAAGGCAGCATCGCTGCGGATGCTGGTTGCCCGAGGGAAACACTATTGCTGTCACACCCCTCTACAGTCAGCAGTACAACTTTGCCCTCAGACCTTGAGTTGCTGCTTTTAGTCTTACCGTTCTCCAATCGACCTGCCTGGTATGGTAGAACCTGCAGGAACATATGTTCCAGCCAATATAGCTCGGTTGGGTCATCACGATAGGCAAGCCCGACCACCGCGTCAAGGTAGCAGCTACGTTCGGGGTTATACGGAGCTAAAACTTGGGGAACTACCACAACTTGGAGTCTCAAAGGCAAAAGGAAAAGAGGGAAACCAAAGGGAAAACACATGGGGCTGGAAACCCTAGACAGACATCAGAATGAATAGTACTTGGCAACAACTGGAAAGGAGAACCCAGGACAAAGTTGTGTTAGTGATTCCTGATCAGTAGACTATCCTCTGAGAGGGGTAAGAGGGGTTACAAGAAGAAGAAACAGATAGGTAGATGTGGGCTATTCGTTACGGTAGTCATCAGATAGTCTTTACAGATTGGTTTCGACCATAGGTAGTTTAATTATTTTTATTTATTTGATGAACATAAATGCAGTACAATCGAGCACCAAAAATACAATTCGAATAGTGTTAATATTATTAAGATAAGGAAGACCTTGAATTACGAAAGCTCATTGCATTAATGTGAAGACTATGATGAAAAAACGACATATTGGACCCCAACCTATAGAATGGTAATAGACCGATAGATGCTAGTCTTGAACGACAACTAGCATGATCCATGTATGTCAATCTTTCAGGGATGTTGGCACTTCCCACGCATTTGAATATCAAAACTATTCTTGATCAAAATGGAATTAAATTTGTTTTTCCATTGTTATTGTTTTTAAGCACACATTTATAACGGAATAAATCTCGTGAACTTGCTGCAGTAGATAAGCCTGTAACATCGATGGATAGTATAGTTTAGTCGGACTTTCGTATTTTCAAAAAACGATGTATAAAACCTCACATTAGCCGCACGACTCCATCAAACATTTCAGTCTTATCAAAATTTTCCCAAATGGATTCGATGGTAAAGCCATTGGTAGTACAAGAAATTTTGTTTATTATAATTCCTGACCAATATAAAGCAAAGGGACAAGTCTCTTAACCTTTTTCATATGCTCCAGCACAAATGTTTACGATTATTCCAAGCGCTTTATAAAATGATTGGCAAACTGCTTTTAGACCTCCAACAACAGAAACGAGTCACTTTAGATGAGAAGCATCCAAACTTCGATTGAGCTAGTTGAATTCACAGTTCTTGTGTCTTCGTCATAACGACTTACTACAGGCAGATTAGACCACCGCCACCAAATTAGCATATTACCGGTTAGATATGTAAGTTTTTAACCACAAATTCTTATCTAATTTACTGAACATCGGTTACTTCGAAGAATCATTACTCAGCTATACTCCTAGCACCAATCTTATTGATGAGCAACATAGACACTTTACTTTCTTAATTTGAATAAATTTCCCCAAACGAAGTTTTCATTTTCATCTCACCTAAGTAAACAAATGTTCTTAGTAGATATCGAGTAAAAGTTATACTGAGATTACTATAATCTACAGCTGCATTTTCAGTATGATCTGGTGATAAGTGAATAAGTCAAAGTATATGAAAACGCGCTTCAACTTGCAGTCCAGTGGTGGAAAACCCAGTACTTATGTTATTATTGAGCTTTTAGGTATCACTAGCAAGTTTGGACTTAATAGGTTTAAATAGATTGAAAGTTGGGTGGAAATCTAGTAATGATTATATTTTTTGTGATATCCCAATGAGTGGAAATTTGCATTTTTGACGTTTCGTGACCTAATGTAAGTCGCTTCTTCAGAGTGAGTAAATTAAAGTTGATAACCGACTAAATAACAATCCTTTATATTTTCAAAAGCTTATAAACCTCATTATTTTTATTGTTTTCCTACCTGTGAAAATCAATTTCATTGAGGCTTTAGTATTCCTATAAATGGCCTTAAGTATCTTTAGGACTGTTGTTAGAGATTATAAGAGAAGTACTTTCTATGTCCTTGACTATATCTAAAATCTGCCTAAACGTTTGATTTTTCCCTTTATTGGACTCCATTGGAGGGCTAAACAGAGTTCCCTTGTTCTTGTAAACTACAGGTTAGTTGCTGTCTTTTTGGATAACTGAGATACTAATTCTTTCATAGCAAGTAAGTAGGAGTTGAATCTTTTTCTTTACCTTGCTCTAATGAACAAATTATTTATTTGTTCTTTCTTAATTTTATTCTCAAAAAAGCTTTACAATACACGATACATGGTTCAAAATATTTCGGTTCTGTAATTTGTTTTTTAATTTAAGGCAACATTTTTGACCGATACAGATCAGCAATCAGCACGTAATGCTTCTTCTGTATACACACCAGCCATGGTTTATCCTTGCAGTAATACAAAGTCGGAATCGCTTCCTAACAACACGGAGTATTCATCTGTGGAAAATGTCCCAGCCAAGTGTGTACCAGTGATTCCCCCTATCATTTCTGATAATAATAACACAGTCTCCAAAAAATCGAAGTGGATTTGTACTCATTGTTCTTTGAGTTTTACACGTCCAAGTCACTTGGTAGATCATTTGCGTATTCACACCGGTGAAAGACCTTACAAGTGTATTTTATGTGGACGTCAATTCACTCAAGCTTCTAACCTTCGCCGACATCTCTCAAGTCACAGAGCCTGGCCACCAGTGTCATTTGTAACTGCTGCTGCATCCAATGGGCACCAAAATTCTGAAATAGTTCCAAAAAATACTGAAGTAAGTGTATTTTTGTAAGATTACGCTGCATTTTGTTTTTCTGAATAAGATCTTCAGTGGTATCTATGTAACCAGACTTTCGAATTTCTCAAGTTATTTGTCTTACTTTTCATTCTAGCCTCTTTTCTAATTTTATCTATGCGAAGTTTTACTATTTCACTGTTACTCAGATAATCAGAATCCTCATTACTTCGTCTCATTTGTTTTTTCCACCAGTGAATTTAAATTCTCTTGTTCAAAGTTGTTGAATTATTTCTTACCAATTGGTAACTGAGTAAGTAGCATAAGCAAACTGAAGTGAGAGCAAAACAAAATAGACTTTTTGTGTGTAGTTTCTTTATAAAGATTATAAACAACCATGGTATATTCATAAATCTCTTGGCTATCTTCATTATTTCGTGAGATGTTTTGCTAATATATTCTCACCACATCATTGTGAATGTGAATAGCTCCTCTCATGACCCATTCACTAACGTCTGATTCAACGTGATTTGATATTTTTTTAAGATAACGGTAGACATCAGATATCTTATTCCGTCGGATTTATGATAATTTCCTACATGTTACGCTAGTTTTGTTCAGGCATGTACTTATTACAGTGGATTTATTAACATTAAAGAAATTGAATATGTGCCCCCAAACGCCCTGGTATGGCCGAGAGCGGGGTGGGTTCGCCCTTCCTCTCGAAATACTCTCACACGACCGCGCGTATACAGCCTCTGCCAGGGAAGTCCTACTCACTGCCTTCTCGTGGCGGGGGTGTTGTTTACGAAAATGAGAGGACGAAAAGCGAATGTCCGGCGCTTTAACCGGATTCCAAACCAATGGTGCATATGGGCACCAGTATCCTGCGGGAACAAATGGCGTATGAACCAATCGTCGGTCACCGGCTACCATGGGACTGCATCTCCTTACGATGCTCCACTGCCTTGTGGGCTAGACCTTTAGGTCAAAGGCTCGGGGTGTGGCCCCCTAAGAGAACCACCTGCTTCGGTCTGGGCACCCGGGCAGTAACGCAGCCCACACGCAATTAATGAACTGAAATTGTGTGGCGCATATATGTTTGGCGCACTCCTGTACCAATATATATGTGTTCAAATAAAATAAATAATTGAATAGGTGTTAACATGTACAGGTCTCTAAATGCATTTTGCGACGACCGCAGATACAGTTTATCCGTTACAGACATTAAATTTACGTGTATGATTTAAGGGTTTAATATGAACTAATCTTTACTAATGGGTTTTGGTTTTCTATCTACTATAGGTGGTACCTAACTCTACTTCATGTCGCCATGTTTCTCCTAAAATTTGGATCTGTCGGTTTTGTGATCAACGATTTGAAACATACATACAACTTCGGGCTCATATTGTACATCATAAAGACAAGCAGGTAATTTTAGTTTAGACGACCGTATATATAGGTATTCTTGTCGAGATTGTTAGTTTGGAATTGTTTGTTGTTAATATTTTCTCAAATTTACCCTCAACACTGAATCTTTTCTTGATTGGAAAATGTCATTTTTAGTTCACGTTTTTCCCTCGTTCCCGCTTCCGTTAGTAATATGACAACACTGGCACATAAATTTCTTGATAATGTATTATCTTAAATTTGATTGTTCTGGATTAATAAGACTCTAGACGAGTTGTGTGTTAGGTTCGATTGTGGTGTAATAGTCTAAGAAATATAGCGTCAACTTTAGGTTCATACTTTGAAAGGCGAATTGATACCCTCGGATCTGGACTCCATATTATCATTGTTCTACCTTACATATTGAGTACCTGATCCTCTTATTCATAGATAAGTTTCAGAAATTTTTGTTTGACTCATTATATGATAGAGTTATAATAAAATTTATGTACTCAAGATTTATATTTGTGTTACGTAATTGGTGTATTCAACCGCTTTGGGATTTCCAAATGATTTTTATTTTTCAGGTTTATGCATGTGTATTTTCTGATTGCAACTCCTCTTTTTCATCACCAAACAGTTTATTAAATCATTTGTTAGAAAAACACCGAGTTAACAGGAGTGACAAACTTGCATGTCAGACTTGCGACCAAAACTTTCACGGTAATTTCGATTTTATTCTTATGATGAATTTTATTATATTCGTTCTTATTCTTTTTTTTTCGTTCGTTCTGTATCATTCCTGTAGTTAGTGGCTTGCGCTCCGAAGTTTCCGGGGTTCTCCTGTTAGTATGTCAGTTACCGATAATTTCGTATTGGTAGTGTAGTACTTGACCCATTAACTCGATATTACACTTCATAGCAATAAGGTTACTGTGATAGAGGTTAAGTGTTGCACGGGATTACAGCGTACCTTTTTCTGAGGAAATCGTAAAAGGGTTTTGGTGTTATGCATCATTTTTGAGAACGTTGTTTGTTAATTAAAGAAATATTGAATGTTATATTGGTGCGGAGGCAACTTCGTAGTTAAAGCACGAAGCTTTCACTCAGTAGATCACAGATTCAAACTCTGGTCTATTTGTCTCACTTCAGATGTCCGGGTAGCATCACTGGCTCTCGCAAACAGTGTGGATCAAAGCTGAGTAATATAAAACTGTACATGATAAACGAGTCACGTTATGGTATGATATTCTGTACAATACCAAAGGACTTCATACTCTTGTTTCGAATATCCGTGTGCTAAGCTAATATCCATGAGTATTTTGATAAACACTTGTGTTAACGTTTTTGAATGTTCTGACGTAAACTTAGGTTATGACTATTTAAATTGTAGATTTCTCTTAAATCAGATTACTAATCAATAACTGTTTATTCAACAAACTAGTAGTCTGATAGTTAGCAGTATTGTACCTCCATTCTAGTGTAACTTTGTCGTTGACGTGCTTTTAGAGATAACACTCTCCTCATCTAAATTTCCAGGGGTTGAACTTCTACCGGGAGATTCACTTTTTGAACTAGAATATGCCGATGACATTGTTTTATTTGGTGAAGACGCTGACAAAATGCAGTCTTCTGACGTATGCACGACCACCGACTACCCCGACGTGCGATGTTTTGTGGTGTGGAAGTAGGTTGGAAGAAAGCTAGGGGCGTCCAAACCAAAACATGGTACAAATCCATGAAGTCACTGACAAGTGGACTGAGCCATGTTGGTATGTGTAGACTACCTGGTTGGGAACCGCGAGATGATGGCGACCGATGGTTAGAGACCCTGGATGACATGGCTCAAAATTGTTTGCAATGGTGCAAGTGCATCCACTCCTTGTGTTCTCCCAAATTCTAATCTTCTGAATTCTTCATGTCCCTTGTTTTCTTTCTAAATTTATTTCACTGGATTATACTCATTGAATAAAATCTTCAAATGCTAATCTTTCCAATTACTGCCTATACTCTTACTACCTTTACCACAATGGGATTTGAATCGACAATTGTATCTGTGTGCTAATGTGGTATGGCGACTCGAACTGATGTACGAACGTATGTAGTTCTACGTTGTTACGGATTGACCATAGAGTTAACAATATTTTGTTTTTTAAATCTAGAATTATTTTAATGCACAGCGTTTTTAATTTACAAAAATTTCATGCTATAGTAGAAATTCAAACTGAGAGTTTGTATTAAATGTAAACATCACTGTTCAACATCATTGAAAAACTGTTGTAAAATGTGTTGTTTTATCCTGCCACGTTTCAATCTGTACTGTTAAATGGTTTTTATTGTGAAAAGACACCACTTACTATGAATCGGCTATTAAATAGATTCAGAAGACATGAATATAGTATATACTGTATGTATATACAGTATGTATATTGATATACTGACTGATTGCTAGAGCTTCTAAACATACACCAATATAACCTCCAACTAAACCCTCTCATGTAAGTAATTTAAACCCATTATGTAATTATGATTTTAAATATCACAGGTTGTAAGCAGCTGATGAGAACCAACGAAATAAGACAAATTCATGCTATTCTGCTAGAATGTTTGTTCTCGCTCTTTTCAAAATGATAAAGGGAACTATGTGTATGACACAGCAATGTTAGAAAATCTTAGTGGTTTGATTGCCCGGTTCTTAAATTACCAAACCAATCGTTTTTAAATATTCTTTAATAAAAACTTCAAAAACGTCATCAATAAACAAGATAACTTTCTCTTTTTTTATTAAAAAAAATGAAGATTTCTTGCATCTTGTTAGACACTTGTTGCCTCGACGTAATGGATCTAACTCCGGTTGTCCTATGCTGTATATTAGATCAAGAAAAAAGGAAAGTAAATTGGTGAAGAGAAATCGTAAATTTATTTCACACCATAGGTCTACTAATGCACAGGATGTAGAACGAAGTTCAAAGTCGTCAGCTGAATACTCCAGTACTGCTAATTATTTGGATCCGACATTCCGTATACTTCCTTTACAAAGTTTCAAAAAAGATAATTCACTATTTGGTTTCAAGTAAGAATATATTGTACAACTGATTTTATAGTTTCGAAATTTTTTTCGCTAACTCAGAATGAGTATGGAATGGAAATTTAGCTACATCCGTGCGCATCTATATTGGCGCTCTCTTGTACCAATATTTATGTGTTCAAATAAATAATAAATAACATCTGTGCGCGCCTGATTCAAGGGTGTTCCGTAACCGTAATGCTTTACTGATATGACCCTTTAAATTGTTTCTGGTTGTTTTTCATGATATATCCAATATTTAGAGTTATTTGGTATCATGTATGCAATTTCCATGTTTACACAACTGGGACGTTAATTTACCTTGGACGAATATCTACACTAGATTCCCTCCCAGTGTCTATTCTACAGGACTTCAACACAACTCAGATCAAGAACGTAAATATATTTCCACATCAAAAACCGACAACAATCCGACAAAATACTACAATCGACAATCAGTCAACAATAATAATAAGGATAGGAGAATATGGAACTCATCTAACGCCTGTCAGACTATCTACAATTTTGATTAAGCAAACAACCAATCATTATCATTCTCACCCACACACCAGTTTGCTTTAAACCAGAAAAATTGATCCTATACTGGTTTGAAATTATAATCATCCCTCCAATCCATTTGTTAAAGCTTATTAAGAATGCTGATTGAACATTGAATGTATTATTGATAAGAATTCTGTCACAAGTGTAGGAATTATGTCACTCTCCCCTAGAATTCTGAATCTATCAATGACGACCACTGGTCTCAATCCACGGCGACAAATGTCTTCGTAAGTGGTTGAAGACATTTGGCACGGAACTCTGGATCTAACTGCCCATAGTCTTTACATCACGGTAATTGATTCTCTTCTAGATATTTGAAACTGTTTTGTCTACTGATGTCGAAAACTTCACTGAGCTTTTCAGAGTGCAGTACTGAGTCACTTAATATGAAGATAACATTGGACATCTTTAAAATTTTATGATCACTAAGAGCTAGGTTTGATGAAAAAATTACTATTCAGTAATCGAATAGCGTTTCTTATCATTGGCAAGTAAGTTTACCAATTTCCATTGGCAAGTGTTAACTGGCAACCTGAGATTCTTAAGATATGTAATTTTCACTTATAGCCTGAAAGTTTAGAGTTCTTGTGTATTCCAAGTTCTTTTGTCGCTCAATAGTAGTACTCCGACTGAAATGGTTCTCATAATATTTACTTCACTTTTTCATGTAAATGAAGATTAACATAAAATTGATGTAGTGAAGCATTTCATATATTTCCTAACAATTATGATATCATTATTTTTCCCGGTTATTACAGGTGCCCGTTTTGTGTGAAAATTTGCAAAAGTCTTAAACATATCCATACACACTTATCTGAAAGACATTCAAGCCAAATGAACCTTTCAGTATTCAAATCTGCCTTGTCCAACAAGACTACGAATGATGACACTAATAATACTGTTTCCCTGCCGCGTAATGCAGATTCGTCTTTCAGTGGTGGTGAATCTTCTAAAACAGCCTTATTTCTTCTTCAACTAGAAGAGTGTATGCTATCTCAAGGAAATCACCTAGAACCTAACAAGAATGCTTCACCTAAAATATTTGTATGCAGATTTTGTGGCAAAAGCTTTCAAAAACAGAAGTTCTTCAGTGACCACGAGTTGATGTGTCAACAGGTTAGTATATATTTTAGAGTTTGTACTTAACTATTTCGCACTTTTACTTTTGAAGTCCTACTGTTGTACAACATGATATTCTAGATACTATAGACTCGGTTTAATGACCATTCACGGTTAGAGATTATTCACTAAGCTTTGATGATTGGTTAGTTCACATAATATCTTTCGGAATCTATGTTGATCTAAATTGTCCAACTCATCAACATAGAAGACGAAATCTTACAAAACGAAAGCGAACGCTTGGAAGTAATTGTTTTTGACGGTAAGTCCCAAGTAGTTCAACAGGGATTTATGAAGTCTTGATAAATATTGTATTACGTAGATTCTGAAAACAATTTCAGAATGCTTGTCAGTATACAAACAGGATATGGTTAATACAAAAGGAATGCAACATTAAAAGTTAGGGTAGATTATTTGAAATGATGTGATCTATAATTTTTCTTCATTGAATATTTTTTTACAAAAATTTTAATAATGTGAACCATATGATGTAAATGAAATGCATCATCATAGGTTATAAGATTTCGGAGAACAGCACTTATAGGAGTCATACTTTGTAAAAGTCATCAGTTTTGTAAGGAAGATTTGTCTTTAATAAGCATTGTAAGAAGAACGCAAAGAAGTGGCATAGATAAGACATCATGAGCTTTTTGAAATGATAGATGTCATTAAGGATACATCGGTTAGGAATAAGTATTTTCTTAGAAGAAGGACTGGAGCGTCACGTTTGCGAGTGAATATTATAGTGAAGAGCTATTCCAGTTCCTTTAGAGGATACTTAGTAAAATCTACAATAAGAGAGCATAGAAGAGCACCGGAATTTACTGTCATATGTCTATCGTTATGTATCTACTTGATTGTTCCGTAACATACTGATTATAATTGGTTTCATTTAAACTAATCAACTGTTCTTTACATATTCTTACAATAACGAAATGACCCAATTAGGACAAGGTTTGGGACTTACTAAGAATAGCGTAAAGGATTCACAACATAAGACTGTAATATCATCAACAGATAAGATATCAACACCTAACGAAGTTTAATAATTATACGTCATAGTAAGATTGTTCACACATTTAAAGTCCCTATAATTTCACTAGTGGAGTGAGATATAATTGTTGATGTAATCCTTTTTTAAGACGATATCAGAAGACCGAAAATTATCAATGTATCGTACAAGCGATAACAGAATGTTTTTCTGACATAGTCATGCTCTATGCTAATATATTCACAACCATAATACCAACACAGTGAAGGAAACTTCTTTTTTTTCTTCCCTCTCTCGCTATCTAGACAGGAGTTCGGTGTTGTTATGGAAGTTTTGTTTATGATGACCCCAGTAGAATAAAAAAATACATTGGAGTTAATCGGTTATTTAACAGTTACTAGGATTAGGATTCATAAACTGTATGATTGTCGCTAAGCACAATGATAATAAAAATATATTTAATGTGCATATAGTAATGCAACGAATTTGTGTTGAAAATTGACCTTACATCCACCTGAAATTCACTTTGAACTGATCTTGATCTCCTTCCTCATAGATTATACTTAGGGATTACACATCCTCAACAATTTCAAAGATAGATTATGGTAAATTGTAAAGTAATTTATATAGAGATTAGATTTTGAATGAGATATTTTCAATTTTGACAGATATAACTGTAATTCTTCTTGTATTAGTGGATGCAAAAGATGATTTATTTAATATATTAAAGTAAAAATTAGATTCAGTCTCAGTCTCCACTTTCGTAGAGGATCAGTGAATCTGGGCTTGTAGTTTAAAGTGCATACATTCGTGAAAATATGGAGCATAAAGCTCCGCTAAACAGATTCCTAGCTCAGTTCGTCTTTAATGCCATAACTAATAAGAATAAAAATATGATATTCTAGTAGTGTTCAAACACATGATTGTACTATCGAATACGTGATTCGTTGTTATTAAAGCTACATGTCATACAACCAAGAAGTCTTCATAAGTAAGACGTCCACATTTTAACTTAATTTGAGAGGAACAAATTGTAAGAACATCTTAGTCCTAAGTTTACCATTGAAGTTGAGAAGAGAATCACCTAACGCGTTTATTAATTAGAACTACTAATTTCTATAATTTAGAACTTCTACTTAGTGCTGATGACTCTTCATAAATAGCTTTTTAACCAGAAGTGTTCTTAATTTGGTTAAAAATTATAGTTATTTATGCCATTGTGAAGGAATCACCTGACTTGATGTTTCTGCAAGTATCTTAATTTGTTACTAAACTTAAGCTATATGAATAGACCATTAGGGTTTATTAGCATGAATTGTTGATTTGGTAAAATATACTTAAGGCACCTACCAGACTATGGCTCCGGAAGAGGTCATTCCAATCTAGACACAACAGCATTTGAAGGAGGTTCCAGTTTCCAGTTCTTTAATCCCCTTTATTGACCAGATTTTCACAGGGAGAGGTTATTCAAAAGGTTGGTAGTAATGTGAAAAGAACGGAAAGATATTTGGTCACTACTTTTACATATTTTTTAAATTTCTTTAGGTAGGGGATACTGGAGCCCATGTGCACCATTGGTTGAAACTACATGGGACAAACTGGTGACCCTAAGTTTTCTTAGGTTAGGGTTATGTAAGTCTTTACATGTGAAGACCATATATGGTTTATTCAGTTGGCTTAAGGAGTATAATTCTTAAAGATTGTCTACTACCTGTGGGTTATTATGGCCTAGGATATTACTAAGTCGATCAACTTTTGTTGATGGGGTCTTGTTAACCTAATGATTCGAGGGAGCATATACAATTTGGGAATGGCCACCTTTGGTTGTTGAAACCTTAAAAACTTTTCAAGGGTATGCTTTGAATCCAAAGGGTTATCGTGGGCAGCATTTTAATTTCTAGAATTCTTAAGAGGCCTCCAAACGGCTGTATGACAAAAACACGACGTCTGTGTCTCCGCCTCTGCATCTCCACGGAGAAACGTTATATATATATATATATATATATATATATATATATATATATATATATATATTCATTTACATCATTGTTCCCTATCCGATCACACTAATGGCTAAGTATTCAGTGAAACAGTTATCTTTACAACCTTCGAGTAGTAACTACTGCCATTTATATGGCTGCCGACGCTACCACTTATATCTTTGGCATGACCGTATGAACCACATACTCTCCTAAGACTGTCTCATGACAGTTGAGAAATCGAAGTGTGGGTGCGCTGTTATATGTAGGAGAATTATTTATCTAATTGAGGTTCCAGTCCATATGTGCCTGGCTTGTTTATTTCAGTAACATATACGTACGAATTGGTTTTTTGTGTTGTTATTCGTCTTTAGGAATAGCTCCCCCCACAGTCTTGGCACTGTCACTCTGGCTAGTTATACTATTGAAGTGTTAAACAACGCAAAATAGTAACTGAGTTGGACTACAAGATACAATAATTACTCAACATTATTACACGTTTCATTTAACATTGACTAACTGAATAAAATACAGAATAAGCTTTTGAATTATGTCTGGTTGGTTAAGGCTCATCACAGAAGCGCTCCTGTAGTTTTGGAGGAAACTGATCGCTCTGCTTAAAATTTCTGAAACAATAGCACTTGCCGCTAGGTTAGAAGTATATATTACCGATGAGTGACAGGGAACATGACACCTAGTTCTGAGGGATCCTGATGATACAATACCAACCTTGACGATTTTTAATTTATCTATTGTAGACTTTTTCTTGATTTATTTTTTTCATTTGTTTACACCTTTACCGGTTAATTTGTATTCCTCTCAAGTCAATTCAAGAACGAGCACGTCGAATTCGTCTTAGAGCCAATAAACGACAGAAGTTTTTCGTTTCACAGAAAACTAATACTGAATTGGATATGAATTTATGCACTGATATTACTCCTCCAAATCAAGATTTCGTCCTTTGTAATTCAGAGGATTCAGTTTCAGCGCTTAGAAGATCCACACGTAATAGAACATTTCATACATTTTGGAAACCTAAACCAACTCGTCGAAAGCGTAATTTTGAATCCGTCTGCTGATTAAATATAAACAGGCTCAGTTCTAAAATAAATTTTCAGGTATTAAATTATAAAATATATTCATACTCTTTACCTCTCTGCACAGACAACATTTATTTATTGATTTTGTTAGGATATGGATATTTGGTAATCTAGCGCTTTATGTACACAATACTTACTCCATTGAATCTGGTTTGTGTAAATTCTACTATTTTAATTTGTTTATTACACTTTCTCACAGCTTTTCTTTACGAAATATTCAAGAAGCAACGAGTGAACTAAAATTTCCACCTTATTTTTACAAGCCCTTGTATTAGTAATTTAGGATTTTTGATAATCGTATATCATATGGTTGGTAACTAAACCATTCAACTTTCGGTTGACAAGTCCTGTTTTGGAACCTCGACCTACTTATTTTGGTTTGGGTGCTAAACAAGAGGATTAGCTTCCTTACAAGGTATGGCTTAAAGCTATGTAAATAAATTTTTTTCTGGTAGATGTATAATATTTGATTGTCACTACGGAAAGAGAGAACTGATGAAATTGTCTGGATATATTGATTTTTGGGGTACATAGAAGAAATAGCTAACGATTGTTTAAGATTATACCATAAAACTGATTTCGTAAAGAGTCAGAGAAGGATGGGTGAGTATAATAAAAAGAAGAGAAGCAATAAACAGAAATTAGTGTATGGGAATGGAATAAAAATAATTGGAGGAACTGTTCAGTTAGAGAAAATACAACCAGAAAGCATTCTTTCAGTTAAAGAAGTTATGCCCATATTTTATGAAGAAAGTTAAAAAAAGTTACAGCAAGATCGCTGCTGGCTTCTATTTTGAGCCACGTCTGATAACGCAGATACATAGATACATGAACTTCTCGACTACTTCTATCTGCTCACTACCCAGAGTAAGTGCAACTTCAGGGTCCTGCCAGTCTTGTAGAAGTACTTTGCAATTCGAAGGTTCAAGGCACATACCGTACCTATGGACCCTGATTACCAACTCATTAAGTGCGGATTGCATGGTTTAGGTATCACCGCACAGTAAGACAATATCATTCGCGTACTCAAGTCAGTTTTTAACCAGAAGGTCGTCAACGACTTTAAAAAGGACTGGAGGTAAGTTATCTGAGTCTGGTGATTCGTAGCGCTTCAGGAATTGGAGTTCCTTGCAGATTTTTACCTCGTTAGGTGGATCGGTCGTCACCGGCCATGGAAGGCAGGACAGTCTGATCGATGCTACCAGTTCAGCAAACCAGTTGACCTGCTCCTCGAAAAACTCTGCCCCTCGTCTGAGACGTCAGTAAATGTTATTTACTGGCATCCCGTCATCTTCACAGATTGTTTCACTCACACCAGACTTCGTGCTCCCAGTGACTCGCATGAGTTGAAAGAGCTTCCGGCAGTTATTAGATGCAGCTGCTGCTCCCGACTCATTGGCACGTTCTGACCACCAGGCTTCTCGGTTCTTACATAAGCTTTGCTCAATTCCATTACGTGACAGTCTTCGCTTGTGTCACATCGGCGATGAATGTACTGATAGTTAATGCTAACCAGAAGCATATTGTAGTGTGCGCAAAGTTGTAGTAGATGGTCACCGTTATCTGACCTGCGACCAACAAATCTCCATCGGTCATCTAAACGACTTTTCTATGTGTCTAGAAGCCCGACATATCATTTCAAGTTTCCGGCTAGTACTACAATATCCGTCGAACGTACGTTTTTAAAGGAACATTTAGACGTTGGTAGTTTAATGCCAGAGGTTACTCTTGGTTTTCCGTTAGGAGTACGCCAAATTGATAAGCGTGGAATAGAGCAGTTGGAGTGCGAGGTTGTCCTTTCAAATATACAAAGCTTTCAACATGCAATGTAGGACAATAGGAAATATAATGCTTATGCAAAACGTGAAAGTAAACAAATACCTCAGCCTTAAAGTCTTGACATTAATAAGATGTTTTCGGCCAATTGTTAATCACCCAACTTAAGTTGTTATATTAGCTTCCTCCCAGAACCGACCTCTGTAAGAATGACTGTTCGATCAACTTATTTGACAAAAGCATGTTAGTTATTTCCACGAATTACCGTGCCTTTACTATTTTGCATTCCCTTTATGTTAAAACTAGAGCTAGTCAGAGAATAGGAGGTAAGAAATTGAAACAAGAAAACTTGAAGAAGTGCCACGAGCGGTCTACCCAGCACTATGTCAGTGAAGTACAATATCTGTCGAACGTACTTTCTGTAGGAAAACAGTCAACTGGTAGCACAACTCATCCTTGATCGCATCCGGGCTGCAATCTGTCGGAGCGTAGGTGGATATGACGAAAGGATATCGTTTTTCACGCTGATTTCTTCGCATTTCTATGGAGCTTTCCAATCTAACAGCACAATCGACTAGTTCTACGTCAGTTCTACTGCTTAGTGTGACACCAACACTGGCAAAACCGAACGAAGTTTCCACAAGGTCCCTGAATTATCGTGTGTGAAACCAGCTTTTCAAGCGACAGATTGAGTGCGAATTCGTACTACTTCACTAGAGTATTGGTTACGGTTGACGAATAGATAACAGACATCTAAGTCTAGACTTTCTTAAGACATAGCTAACCCGATCTGTTGTCTGTTCCGCATTGGTGTGCGAACGTTGAAGGAATCCAGTTTGAATGGTATACGTGGTTTCAGAAAGACGGTTTCAGAATTCGTATTTGGCAATATCATTCACCATAGGTGGCCTGCTGTTTAAGTAGGGAAATAAACTAATGTACTAATTGAGAAGAAAAGAGAGTAGTTAAGATACGTTGAGTAAAAGTAATAAAAACGAATGATATCAAATGATTGTGAATATTATTCGTCTCAATGAGAGTTAAAACAAGAATTATTTTTCCAGTAGTAGTTATACATTGATTTTTGTGTGGTCTGGAATACTGCCTTGTTGCCTAAACTGAATCAGGTTGTTTTCCAAAGAGAGCTACATTCTGAGATTTTGACCTAAAGGTCTAATCCACAAGTCAGTAGAGCAACGTTAGGAGATGAAGTTAAATGGTAGAGGGTGACAATACTTCATTTGTTACCTCAGGATTCTAAAGTGAACGTACACCATTGATTCGGAGTCAGGGCTTTCCAACTCTACTAGGTGGTACCTCCGTACTCACCGAGCTCTTTAAAGCATTATATATTCACTTTACGTCCTTTCAATTTCATAAACAACACCCCCACCGTGAGAAGGCAGTGAGTAGAATTTCTCTGACAGTGTTTGTATACGCGTGGCCATGTAAGAGCATTTTGAGAGGGAGAACGCTCTCTCCTCACCTTTGGCCGTACCCAGGGCATTTGGGTGCGGATTCTGCTACTATTGCATTGTTTTGTTGTTCAGTTACACTCCACAAATAAGGAAGGTTGAATATTCACTATTTAATGAGTTCAGTTCTAATTAACTCTCTATTCCACAAATCAGTTCAAACAATAAATATATATTTCACCTAATCAAGGAGGTGCATTAAACACGCACTTATACAGCTGAATTTGCATTCTAAGTAAGTAAACGTGATTGTAACTGGTCATTAACTGAAGATTTAACGATTGTGTAACTCTTCGTATCTTGGTATGTTACTGTTAAGCAAATAAGGCAAACCTGATTATGTAAAATAAGATTCCATGTATCCTAAAATAACTTGTGTTTCTTAGAATAATAAGGATGATGTAGTTTCGGATATTAATTTCCAATCTTCTGGGAAAATTGGAAATGACTTAGGAGGAAATACCATGCAATGATATGATAATCATAATCACAACATAGGTCGTCGATTTCCCTCTTTTTAGTTAAATGTTCGTTAACATTAAATGATGTCAGTGAATCCTGTTTACCTGAATCAATGATGTTTTGTTAGGTCCCGATAAACATAATGAATGGTAACTTTGGGATCCTTTTATGGACCAATACTAAACGTATATTTTTATTGTATAATTTTTAAGTAACTAAACTATTCATATTCCTCTTATTATAAACTTTATTTTGACCCATAAACCATCCAGCTCAGAGAACAAAACTCCATCAAAAACTATTATTATACGTTTTACCATTCTTGACTTATGCCCTGTCTATTAGTCACTGCCTCCCGCATTCACAGCCATATTTTATACAAATGTTATTTTTTATTTTATGCTACGTTGTCTGTTTGGTTGGTATATAAACTCAGTATGTTTGAAATATAATGATTCATAAAGAGAGCAAGAACAAAGGTTGGTGCAGAATAATATGAATTCACTTTATTTCGTTAGGTTCTCATCAGCTGCTTACAACCTAAAATATTTGAAATTCAACGTTATTATAGATATTGACATATTTATACATAAGAGTGTGATTAATGATCAATACATGTGTATGATGATGTAGAGAAGATTCAGATAGAGTTAATGAGCTCATAAAATGTTTGATTCGAATAAATAAATAAAGTTTGAGAGGGGAAGTTCTGGAACATTGAAATAGTGATTAGAACTCATGAAAATAGATTAATGGTAATAAAGAAAATATGAATTGAAATCAATCATTTATGTATGATGTAATTTAAACTTCAGAAAGAGTTGCAATAATGACGCAATAAATAAATAAATAGGAGCAAATTAGTAGAAAGAGTGGGGGTTATTGTTACCAGGGTAAAGAAAGATTTATTACTGTCTCTTTTTGTATACATAGATCTGGTTTTAGACGTTTGATTGCTAATGCTTCGGCAAATTTCAAGAGGTTGCCGAAGCATTAACTTTCCCTCTCAAACTCTATTTATTCGAGACAAAATTTTATGACCTCATTAACTCTATCGGAATCTTCGCTACACCATGATACATTTATTCGTCCTTATTCACCCTCTTATGTATAAGTATGTCAATATCTGTAATAACGTTGAATTTCAAATATTTTGGGTTGTAAGCAGCTGATGAGGACCTGACGAAATAAAATGAATTCATATTATTCTGCACCAATCTTTGTTCTTACTCTCTTTAAGATAATAAAGGGAACTATGTGTATGAAATAGTGATTCATATCGCAGAGGCTAAGACTTGTGTTCTGGACTTAACTGGCTGGGCTGAGTAGTGCGTTCGCTTCCCCTTGCTGTTTGACGACCTTATCATTCTATAATACTAACGTTAATAAGTACATCATGATTCTAATAGATACAGGAAGCAATGACTGAATTTAAGTGCGGAGTAAATTTTATGCTGAATCTCGTTCACATTCTTTTTAACTGATAACTCTAATTCTTTAAGGTTTTGTGATAAATATATGTGTTCCATCTTACATATGAATGTTAAATATATATTTGCGTCCTATTTTCTTTTCTTTTTGATTTATTTACATTTTGCATGCGTGTTGTGTGATTCATGTCCTTTGCTTGCTAATTAGGTCTATGAACACTGTTGTCGTATTAAGCAGACTACACCAACCAACTAATCCATAAGTAATTTTTGGTGTGTTATTTCCTGCTGAATTTTGGTCACTATACAAATCAGTAACTTATTCCTGATACTAGTATCATGGAAAGATCCATAGTATTTTGGCCTAATTATTGCGAGCACTCAGACATCTCTCTTTCTGTTCAACTTATGAATCAAACCTTTTTCCTTGATTTCTATCGGTTCCATTTGGTATTTTCATAACTGAAACCCACTTGATCCTATGCCGTTCTAACCAACATTCAATTTTTTGCATACTGGTTTTAACTGACCTTATGTCACAGTAACTCCTTATAAATATTCCTTCAGACATTATAACTTCTTCAATATATATTAAACGCTTGCTTATTTTCTTTAATTTACTGTTTACCTTCTGATAGTAGTTTCAATGCAAATTGGAAAATTACATTAGTAAACCAAGATGATATTAATCATGCTTTAACTGTTTATGATAGTCTACGTATTTTCCATTCACAATGACATCGTTTATTTTTCATTGAAGGTTTCCCATTTCAATTCTCGGATGCCTAGTTTAAGTGTTCAAGCGAGTTCAGCACTTCAATTTGATATTTTATTTGAATGTCCTCAAACTCGTGCGCGATGCTGTAACCTTTGGTTACCCCATTGTCCTGGTGGACCAGTAGAAACTCCAGTTTTCATGCCGGTCGGTACACAAGGTGCTATGAAGGGTATCACTGTAGGCCAGTTAGAACAGCTGGATTGTCGAATTTTACTTGGAAACACTTATCATTTAGGGCATCGCCCAGGACCAGAAGTTCTCAGAAAAGTATGATTTTATAAATATTTCAACTTGATTTTCTATTATTTGATATTCAACTTGACGTTGTTTTTAAAGCATAATATAATCAGTTACAGGCATTTTAGGACCTTGGACTAATGCATAATGGTACAGGTTGACACATCCCTGTCCGACAGATAGAGATATAAAATTAACACGATAAAGTGAAGAGGGAAAAAATTATTATCTATTCAGATGAAAATTTGGAAACTTAAGTGCTTTGTTCTAAAGGAACAAATAAAATTGAAGAATCTAAAGTACACAATAACAACTAAGATTAAAATATAGAGGAGGGTAAAGAATGACTGCAACCGCATCATTTTAACCAGTTTTGTCCATATCACACATCTTTAACCATATATTATAATAATTAAATAAAACTTAACTAGAAACCCTAAGTCTCCATATTTGGCTCAGATCGGCAGTCATTGATTGTAGAGACTGATGACTCTTCTCCTTTCGGATGGCTCCTAGATCCTCCAGCATTGTGAGTTTTGGTAAGCGGTGGTCAAAGCATAACTGTAAGTTCAATAGCAGAACGGACACTGCCCACCTTATACAGTAGTTTTACTGGCACATCAGTGTTCAACTTTTTGTGCCATAGCGTTTTATGTTTGCATTATATGTGCTATGACTGAACGGTTAACTGATAAAATGTTTCAATTACTATTGGTCGATGATTACTAGACTGAGCTAGTCAATTAGGTGTTTGCCTTATTAAACCGAGCCATGCATTCTAAATACATGCCTATCGATTTTGAAACCACCGACTTACTAACATCTTGGTCTCATGAAGCTGTCATTTGTGTACAAAATATACAACCAAGATAGTATAACTAAAATAATACATTAATTAATCAAGTATATAAGCTATTTTCACATAAAAATCCAACAAGTTTGCATTACCCCCTATTGGATCAATATCTACTTTAAGTAAATTGGTTTATTTCTGAGTGTTTAACCTTGCAATCGATGGTTTCAGTGTAGATATTTTTAGCTTACTATTACATGGTGGTGTCATCAGTTCTTTCCTATCAGTTTCACATTTTTCTGGTTGTGTTTTGCGTATCCGATCCTGACATCTGTTTTTTAATTTTAGGCTGGTGGGCTTCATAAATTTATGTCTTGGCCTCGTGCCATCCTTACAGATTCAGGGGGTTTCCAAATGGTTTCATTAAACAAATTGTCCGAAGTTACTGAGGAAGGAGTTCGATTTACTTCTCCACATAATCATACTGAAATGCTCTTAACTCCCGAAGAATCTGTTGGAAATTTCCAAAACGCACTGGGTTCAGATATTGTTATGCAGCTGGATCACGTTGTGCATGTGCTAACAGATGACAAATCTATGAAAAAAGCGATGGAAAGATCTATCCGTTGGTTAGATAGGCACGTGTTTGTTTCACTGATTGCTTTTTAACTTTTTTTTTCAATTTTATTAATCGTGTATATGTACATACTTCAGTACAAGATGATGTTACTGGGTTTGAAATTTATGAAATAGTTTATCAAGTTTCAAATATTTATCTTTATATAGCAATAAGCTAGTTATTAATGTGGATTGTGTTTACAGTCTAATTTAATTAATTAGTGATTTTTTTCTTCTTACTCCAATCACTATTCATGTTTACGAGGATTTCTCAGTTAAATCTTTCTCGGATAGTCTGATAATTATTATTAATGATAATAATAATAATAATGGCTATTTATAGATGCGACATTGTCGATATATGATGTCGCAAGTTTTTTTTTCCGATAAATGAGTTATCTATACGACAAAATGTACAAGTAAATCCTAATCATTTATTTACATGCCCTTGATCTTTTCAGTATCATTGTTCTATAATCATCACTGTTCGTAATAGTTTGGTGGCTCAGACGAATACAAGAAATAGTTAGATAAACCTGTAACTTCATGCATACATTGTCTATTCATATGCTTATTTTTGATAGATGTTTATCAAATGCATAATGATATTTCAGTTGAGTTGGATAATGATGTTTGCCTTTTTTTCAGAAGTATTACTGCTCATAAAGGTCAGAAAAGTAATCAGAATTTATTTGCTATAACTCAAGGTGGTTTGGACCCGACAATGAGAATTGACTGCATTAACGAAATGTTGAAACGTAAAGATGAAGTTAGCAATATTTTATTTAATAACATATTACATTAGATTGTTAATTAATTAATCACGTTTTATAATAACAAAAATAGTTTTGTTAATGAACTGGATGACAAACCAAATGGTTAAGATAAAAAAAACACAAAATAACTTATTAAAAATAACTGTAGGGTATAAAGTGCTTAGACCCATCCTGAGCTTTTTCTAACCAAGAAAACACTTATGAGAATTACTAGAATGCAGTTTGCTTTTCCAACCTGATTGAGATTTTGACATAAAAATGTTTCATTGTTGTTAAATATTTGGGCATATATTTCATTCATCTTGTTTATTAAACACGTCCAAAAATTCCAGTCATCGATCAGTCATATGTAATGAAATCAACTGGTTCAATTAATTCTATGAGCAAAGAAAACTTATCACATCAATTTGGTTTTTAATTTGTATTTTGTGTTTATGGTCATTCGAATATTGAACTATTGAAGTGTATTTCAACATAAATAGTATCTTGGCTTTGATTGAAAATTTTTTATTTCTTTATAGTTGGCTGGATTCGCTATTGGTGGTCTTAGTGGTGGCGAATCAAAAGATGATTTTTGGCGTATTATTAAGCTATCAGCAGAGCATCTACCTCTTGACCGACCTCGTTATGTCATGGGAGTTGGGTTCCCTACTGATCTTGTTGTATGTATAGCATTAGGATGTGATATGTTTGATTGCGTTTATCCTACAAGAACAGGTCGATTTGGTAACGCTCTTGTTCCTTGGGGTCAGGTAAAATGACTGATTGGTTTTCTTTTTTGGACTACTAAATGTTTTATTTTGTCATGAAATAAAAGTGTATTCCATAACTAACATAAAGTGTCTATTGGTCCTCGTTTGGAACTTTGAATCATCTTCATATCATTCAAATAAAGCTAGCTATTCTATATTATTTTGATTTCCGGGATAGTATATCTAGTGAAAATTAAATGGTTATCAGAAGCGGTTACTACAGTAATGCAGCACCTTCTTCCCATAATTCTGTACAGGATGTTAAGTGGTAAAATCAGTGGCAGTACTGGATAGAGTTTTTTCCCATTTGAAAATAAATATAATATTTCTGATCTTCTAAAGCACTGGAAATACCACATTTTCTTTCTGTTCTTTGTTTTTAGTTAAATCTTCGTCAAGCTAAATATGCGACTGATTTTCGTCCTATCGATGAAAAATGTTCTTGTCCAACATGCTCTCGTCCTTTATCTCGGGCTTGGTTACACTCAGCATTATCTGGTCGACAAGTTAGTTCTTCTGCAATTATTAGTTTGCATAACTTAGCTTACATGTTGGGTCTCATGAAACAAATAAGAGAAGCGATAAGTGCCAATACTTTCCCTGAGTTTGTTCATTCCTTCTTCGAACGTCGCTGTTATAAAGGTAAAGAAAACGAAAGCCAAAGTGAATATGAAGGTTGTCGTCCTCCAACATGGGCATGTGATGCTCTCAAAAGTGTTGGTATAGACATATCTGATATTGGACGAAATCTAAATGGTGTCAACTGTTATGAAAATGGTAATGACGAAATAGAAAGTAAACGATCACGAAACAGTTCTCTTAATTGTGAATCTATTGAAAATTCCGATTAAAAAATAAATATTTTTGATATGAAATTTTTGTTTTCACTTTATCACCTGTGAATCTGTTTGTCAATTATGTAGTTAATGTATATTAACATATTACAATAATACTTTTTACCAGTCAGTCATTATCAAAACAGAACCTGGAACATCAGCACATCAAGAGAGAACTAGCAAGGTAAATTGCGAAGATAGTAGTATTATAAATGTCAGTAAAAAAGGCCAAACGTATATATGCCTCAGAAAGTAGAAATGAGAAAATCAAAAGGATGAAATAATGTTGAAGCTTAAAAGAGTTACGAAAGTGAACGCATCTGGCACCAAAGCGTCCGATTTTCGATCATATGATGCCTGTAGCTATAGATCAGGGCTCTCACGCGAGTATCTACTTATAATTCTTCACTTACCAATATCCTTCAAGGTAACAGTTTATGTCTTCAGGAACTGATACATGTAGATTTTTTCCTCACCTATTCTCGTATCAGGAAGTATGGTGTGACAAGGCAGACTATTTTGGCATATGTAACACATGTCACACCCACCGTAGTCGATGACAATTCGGTTTCACCAACTGATTTTTCATTTCTACCTATTACTCTCTGTCTAACTTAAACATTATTCACTATGTAGTTTCACAATATGCAACTAACCCTTAGAAGACACCGATGATCAAATACGTGAAGCTTGAGAAATAGGTCAGTTGTAAAATAAAACAATGAACTGCGGTACAGTGTCTTAACCCATTGGTTGGCACTTAGATATATCGTCTGTTCAGCGGGTTGATGAAAACCAATTGAGCTTTCTGTGCCGCTATCGAGATTTCACCAGCCACTGTATTAACTAGACGTTCAAAATAAGTGTATTCGACATTATCTACATTTGCACTCCTTATAGTTAAACAAAATCTTTATTTAAAATTCTCGTCAGTTTTAGTATTAGGCTGAGAAATCATTAAAATATCATATAGGCATTTAAATAAATAAAAAATGTACCTTTTTATAAACATTCAATGACAGATATCATGGGACCTATCGATTAACGGAGTTAGTACATAAGATTACAATTGGAGATGCGTTTCTTTCAAAACCTGATGCATGATGAAAGAGTTCGATTTTCTCTCCTTTGCTCTTTATGACCCCTGTGTTTCGGATGAGTATCGATGTTAATATCCTAAACGAAATATTATTCAGACTAATTACTCTATGAAGAATTCCCTTTCATTCATCATGCACTGGGACAATCAGCGACCGCAGCTTGTGTAATAAAAATTCGTCTCGATGACGAACTATACCTCGTGTCAAAAGCCAGTTTAAGCTGGACTCTTATCTTACACATAACGTACTTGGCATGGTGGCGAATCGATTGGTCAGGTTGTAATGATTTACCGACTGAGATGGTTGGGATATTTGTTATGTATGTTTGACCGTCACCTACTTCAACGAGCGATGCCTGTTAATGCAGAAGTGTGTTGGAAGAAAGAGGTGGTCTGACCAAAACCATACATCGGTCCATAAAGTATGAGTCGTGTTACTGAGGTTCACTTGATAACTTCAATCAGTCTTTAGATGCACTGAAAGACTGAGCTCAGAATCGTTCACTTTTTATCTTCCTCTCGATCTTCAAACCAGAGTCTCAAGGTTTATTCTTTCTTTCTTATGACTGCTATTATATTATTTAGATTTTTTTATTTTTATGTGGTGGTACTACTAATCAGATATCGCAACTTAGGACAACGAACATTTATTCCAGGCTCTATGTTGATTCTGTCTATCTGTCGTTGACTATGTACTTTATTTTTGGCACAACTCTTTTCCAGAATGCAATATTGTCCTGAACTAATCGCTTTTTTAATTTCAGGAATATTTTTCATTGTATGGAACTGATATTCAGGAATTCTTCGCGTTTATTTGTATGCTTACTACTTTTTCGATTTTTTAATGCTTTATTAATACAAACATCTTATGTACCAGATGAATATTGGCAATCTATTGAAGTCGCACACAAATGGGTGTTTGGGTAAGCCCGAAATACAGCATGCTTAAAATTAGCTCCATTCTACTAGTTTAATTGTGCACATTTTTTATATTTGAAATCTGTAAGCTTCTATGAGCAACATAGATATTTGATGAATTCTTTATTCTGAGTACAGTAATAGATATTTGAAACATTCAAAAAAATTAATAATGTTAAAACACTAAGTAAAGCCTTGTCCTCACTAGGATAATTAAAATTTGCTGTATCTGATTTTTTAAAATGAAAATATATGTTTACTTTGAAGTAATTACTTAAAGCTGAGTGTTCTGAAGTCGTTTAGCCCAATAAACAGATTGGATTAAATAGAATATATCGTGAAACATTAAAAGGTTAGTAAGTTAAAATACAACTTCAAGAATTACAGAGCATAAACAGGAAAAGGTGTTGGTTAAAATTTTCATTACACTTGTTACTTTTAATCAGGATCATATGGCTCACTAATAAGCATTACTGTGGGATTTGGTTTATTGTGAAATTTTTATTCAGTTTGCTTTTTTCTTGATTGTATTTTTATCTGACTTGAAATATTTATGTACGGAGAGTTTTATAGTTAAGGGTTTCTTTCTGGAAATCCACCGAAAGGGTGTTCACATTTCACTAATTTAATGTTATCGATTGTCTTTATTAGTATTGAAGGGAGAGTATTGACAGCTTAGTTTAGAGTTTAACTAAATAATATGTTGCTTCAACCATCGTTCTCTAGACTACTAAGTTACTTAATGGGCACCACATGTTCATCTGAAAATGGACCCTCTAATCGATACTTGCATATTACCAGGGTTTGTGTTTTTGAAGATGATGCTTAATACAAATTTGCCTGGACAAAATTAGAAGTTCGGTAAATGTAGGTTATTTTATCGTTAACTAAATAGCTTGTATTAGTTATTTATTTCCTCCTTATGCAGATATGGAACACTCACTTGGGAATGGGAACCAAAAATCGCACTTCGGAGTCCTGTTCATCCACTTTTGATTAGCTTCATATATAAAATGATTGCAACTCTTGGTGCTGATTCACAGTGGATGATAATGAAATCACCTCAAATTCTGCATGGTTTTTTTGCAGCTATTGCTGATTTTCACTTGTACAAACTTATCAAACAGCTATCTGGATTTCAAATAGCCAAAGTATTTGTTTGCTTATTTGGATTGTATTTGTACTTATTTAACATTGAGTTTTTATAGGTTGTTTACACTAGTTTCCTATAGAATAGAATGATCATTATGATATTTCACTGTTCGTTTGGAGAAGGATGGGATTAAGACTTTGTTTTTTGAAGAATTGTGTCAAAATTCATATTCTATATAATTAGATTTGAAATCACAACTAGTGTTGTACAGTAATCCACATAGAAACCTTAGCAGAAAAGAAATACGGAACATAAAAATAGTATCCCCAACTAGAAGTATAATGCACTCAGAAACAGGTAAAAAATAATCATGTTTCCAGTAATTTCGGTGGATAAAAAGACTTAAGTATATTGCTACAAGCTATACTAGTTTCCTATTCATAACACTTATTCAGTATTTAACCACTTTGAAATTAACGCAGTTACCCATCGATGATAGGATATGGTGCCCGCGCTACATCTCAGATGGATTGAATTAAAGTGTAAATTGTATGGTTCCCGCTCGGTTATCTAGAATTAAAATCCTCCATGGTACTGCTGAGAGATAACAAACTAAGGAGAAACTGTGGTTTTCTGACAAATTTCAGTTGAGGATGAGTAATCTCTTCGAATTACTTAGTTTTTATCACACTGATTTCCCCCTTTTTACTTAAAGCTGTAATCCTGATCTTATTTTGATATGTGCTGCTCAAACATATTGATTGTCGAATGCGAAGAGCTTTCTAATATATATATATATAATTTGCATTTTGAATGTTTTTTGGCAAGTGAAGTATCTTAGGTCAACAGTATGTTAAATGTAGGTTGTAGATAAGAAGTGGAGTTTTGTATGGTAAAACCTTAGAAGCTGTTGAATCGAGAACCGAAAAGCATTTTTACCTGATCAATTTACTTGTGCCATTAGTGCTCATTAGTCAGTTCTATCTTTCTGATTACAAACCATATTCAACGTTAAAGAATGTGTACAAATATTCAGTAGAAATGAGGTACATGATTTCCACTTACGTAAAATAAGTTGTCAACCTTTATGATTGACTTTTTAATGAAGTGTAAAACACATGTTTCGGAAATCTAGTTACGTAGTCAATACTAGAACGGTTGGTACTCTGAGTAATAAGTATTTAATTAAGTAAACCGTTGAAAAAGAAAGGAATTGTACATCACCAAAAAGTCTTCCCTCAGCAACCTCAATTCATAGTAAGCTTATACGATTCATCTCGCATGTACAAATACTTTTGAGTTTTGTATTTCTTAATTTATTGACTTATCCCCTTAATTATTTTTGCTTCGTTTTGATAAAACGATTACAGTGGACATTGTTTCATCATGTTTGTAACTGGTTTACTATATATTGTGCTCCACGAAGTCTATCAAACTGTGTTGAATGGTGTTTATGCATAATTGGTTTATCCTATTATCCATGGAATGTGGTATGCCAAACAGATCAACAGTTTATTCAACTAACCGCATCCAACTATCATAATCAGTCGAAATGGTTCATTTTTATTGCAGTAGTCTGTGTTCTAATACGTCCAACAGCTTTGATTATTTGGTTTCCTTTATGTTTTTGGCATATATGGCGAAAGTGTATGATAGCTAGTACACTAGATAAGGATAATAATCATGATCTTAAAGAATATCAAAAGTATTCTAGGTATGTACGGCTCAGTATGTAGTTTTAATTTGTTTCAATGATAAACTCTGACACGTTATGTCTTTCTACTACTATATTCACAAAGATTACTTACTTACGCCTGTTACTCCCAATGGAGCATAGGCCGCCGACCAGCATTCTCCAACCCACTCTGTCCTGGGTCTTTTCTAGTTCCATCCAATTCTTGTTCAATTTTCTCATGTCTGTTTCCATTTCCCGGCGTAATGTGTTCTTTGGTCTTTCTCTCTTCCTTCGATGTTGTATCGGAGAACCTTGCTTTTCCATTTGTGTATATTGAGACCTATTGCTGCTGAGGCTGCTGCCATACTGTTCGTCTTCTCCTGCATTTGTTTGTCGGTTCTGATACTCCTCTTCACTTGTTTGTTTACTTCTGTGTATTCAGCTTGTGCCTTGGCTTTTTCTGCTCTTGTTCGGCTGGTATTGATTGCTGTCTTCTTGCTCCTTCTTTATTGAATCTTATTCAGTGTATGAACAGTGATCCATTCCTTGTGATGATGCTTCTTATGACCCAGGACCTCATGACATGTTGAAATGATTGCCACTTTGATCCCCTTTCAGTTGCTCTCCACAGTAGTTCCTTCTCCATTGAGTAGACCATGAAAGGCCTGGAACTTATTGCTGAGGACTATCTTGAATTTGTTGAGTTTGTTAGTATCTTGAAGAAAGGCCGTATTGAACTTTTGTGATATTGTCCGCCCCATTGTCCAGTACTTCTTGAGTTTAAATTTCATCTTGGCGACCAGCAAGTGATGATCTGATGCTATATCAGCTCCTCTCTTGGTTCTCACATCCTCCATCGTCCTCCCGAACTTTTTGATAATGTAGATATGATCGATTTGGTTCTGTGTAGTGTGATCTGGTGGAGTCCATGTGGTTTTGTGTATGCGTTTATGTGGGAATATGGTGCCGCCTATGACCAGTTTATTGGAGGCACATAGGTTTGCAAATCTCTCACCATTTTCGTTCCTTTCTCCCAGTCCGTGTCGTCCCATGATGTATTCATATCCAGTGTTGTCCGTTCCAACCTTGGCATTAAAATCTCCCATCAGAATGGTCAGGTCCTTTGTTGGACACTTCTCGATGATTGATTGCAACCTATTGTAGAATTGATCTTTAGCGTCCTCATTTTAATCGTTGGTAGGCGCATAGCATTGGATGATGTTTATTGAAATGCCCTCTTTCTTTGTTTTGAAGGAGGCTTTGATGATCCTTGGTCCATGAGATTCCCATCCTATAAGTGTCTTTTATGCTTGTTTGGACAGCATCAATGCAACTCCTTGTGTATGTGGGGCATTTTCTTCTTTATGGCCGGAGTATAACAGAAGATCCCCTGAAGCTTGTCGTTGTTGTCCAACTTGCGTCCAATGTGTTTCACTGATCCCAAGCACTTCTAGGTTGTATCTTCTCATTCCTGCAGCAATTTGGAAGGCTCTCCCGGTGTCCCACATTGTACGAACATTCCATGTACCTAAATAAATGGTTGCTCTGGTTGTCAGAAGGGGCGTCGGCCTCGTAACCTCCGAAGGAATTCGGTTTTCATCATGAGGCGTCATAGTTCTTCTAAATGAAAACCTTCTGACTCCCAGGGAAGAGTTTAAATAATTTTTTCTGGTTAGCGTTTTCTTAGCGAGTTAGTTTTCTACGGGATTGGAACGCTAACCCCATGCCCTACCCTTCTCCTTTATCCGGGCTTGGGACCGGCAGTAGCCCCCCGGAGGGACTTCAGGCGGAGATTAATGGACTTAAATGATCCGTTTTACACATGTGGTGAAAATACAAGGTTTTAGTTTTCAATACAATATTTAACATTCAACAATGAATGTTTCATTAATGAATCAACTAGTTACTTGCATAACATATACAATTTTTGTTTCGTTCAACTACTTTTTTAACACGAATAGAGTTGTGTGCTAACGTTTAATGAATTGTTTTAAAGAAATCACTTGAATTTTAGTGAGACAAGATAGTCTAGTTTTTTTATTCTGATAACCGTTTTATTTCGTTTTAAAATCCTTTCCAGTAAAAGCTATCATATTTGAAATTGGTTGATAAGGTCAGGAAGTGTTGAGTGGTGGTTTAGTATAACAATGACAGAATAGGTTACTGGTACATATTGCCCGATTGATATCAATTTGTATTATAAACCTTTAAATTCATGTTCCTGTGACTCCACGCGATCGTTGTACATTGGAATCGTAGATGTGTTTATTGTTAAACCACTATAGTACATGTCGATCAGTAATTTTACTGAATCTCCCTGCAATACATACATTGATATATACACTAATATTCAGCAAATGCATTGAGTGACCGTTAAAGTATTTTACCTTTTCGAATTTTATATACGAATTGCACAAATTAACTAAGCCCCTCTATTCAGGATATTTTTTTCTTCCTTATTTAAATGATTTTATTATACAGGACAAAATGGTTTCTAAACCATCTTATCTATCAGATTGGAATTTACTTAAGTATAATTGTGCCCTGTTTTGCTTTCTCTTGCGTTCTGGATCGTTTGATATATAATCAGTGGATAATCAACCAGTGGAATTTCATTAAGTTCAATATTTTTTCTGGAGGATCACGATTTTATGACGTCCAGCCTTGGCACTGGTACATATCCCAAGGATTTGCAGCTATGTTGTTAACGCAAACGCCTCTGGTGGTAACCTTTATTGTAATGTATTTTAAATATGGTCCATGTTTTGTAAGAGATCTTACAGGAGAGAGAAAGAAGATAGACTATTCAAACAACTCTAGTAACCAGATGTTTCGTGATCCATGTGGTTTGTGTATTATTGTTATGATATGGACCATAATATGTTATAGGTAAGTTTAGATCATCTATTAATCACCTAACTAATTTGCCACTCGCTAAATTCGTACTAATTTTGTCACATTCTGTTTTATTAATTACAGTGTCTTGGATATTGACATTATCTTTTGCTAGCTGTGTAGTTTATTGCACATCGCGTAATCTTGGATAATAAATAACCGCTTATCTGAATGAAAACGTGGGGCACGCGTGATAACCGTGTTTCTGCCGAATGTAATTTTACTTGGGCTTAAAATATACTGGGTGGCACTAACTAATTTATCGTCCTATAATCAGCATCAACAACTTATTTTGTCTTTTGTAGCTGTAGCAGTAAATATAATCAGTAACAAATCACCAGGTATTGAAGGTAACCAATTCCTGTGAAACCTCTTTCACTTTCAAAACGTTTAAAAGTATAATTTGAGAATGGGAAACATCAGCTGTTGAAATCCACACGAAGATACACTATCATAATCATAAGTACTGACAATTGGAAAAAACTGGCCAGGGTGACGGTTAGCTATAAAGATCTAATGAAAAATTCTTAGCACTGAAAGTTAGTGGTGAATGAAAACATTGAATTAATGACGGTATATGTAATTCTCAGGAAACTTAACTACAGTAGTAAGTAATAAAATTACTCATAGGTTGAGTCAATACTATTCTGGGTCGCTCATGGACTACTATGTATTCAACTCACGAAAGGGCTTGGTGTGTGAATAATTTGTAATATGAAATTCCAGAATTCAGCATCTATTGTCAGTTCGGTTGATACCAAACGGAAATAGGTTAGTTATACATCCGCTTTTCTCTGTCAATAAGTGGAGAATGCTAGCGCGTGGTCTCAGTTACTCTGTTGCCACAATGCCTTCTTAGTACTTAGTGTAAATATTTACTCGTTCATCTGGCTCTCTTTATCAACTCAAACATGATCGGAAGTCACCTTTGTGCATTTAAAGTTTTACGTTCCTAGTTGAAGGTAATTCTCTCTCTTTAATGTTCAGTTTCTTGCCGCACAAAGAATTCAGATTTATCTTCCCATCAATCCCGCTAGCTATGTATTTTTCTGGTATTATATCGGTGTGGTTCGTTCGTTACGGATTCAAACTAAAATTTCTACACAATCAGGATATCCGACGCCAATATTTGGTGTCATTCATCATTTTGACACATATTCCATTGGCATTATATACATGCTTAGTACATCAGCGTGGTGGACTTGATTCAATAAAATTTTTGAACCAACAATTACTGAAAAATCAGCCTGGAAATGAGGTCGTAACTGCTCTGAACTTGATGCCGTGTCATACAGTCCCATCAGTAGGGTAAGTTATTTGGTTTTAAATATTGATACTATAAACAGTTCAGTAATTAATTTGTAATTAAGCTATTATTTGTTCACTCAACCATACACGCCAAAAAATTTTATCGTTGCATGTTGGAATAACATCTAGTATTAACATAGCACAGTTAATAAATGTATATAAAATTAAACCAAACTTGTTCATATACAAATAGATATGCTAGAGTCACGCATATACCAGAACCTCATTCTATACAATAACGAAGTAACTGTAATCAACAAACCAGACTTCTACACTTATATTACTAAACTTCTGTAGAATCATTGAGTATAACAGTAATAAACAACTATTTTCAGTTTATTATTATGAGGGAACTCACTAAATGGTAATGTACAGACTTACTGATGCATAAGTGCACTGATTTCTTCATTCCTTCTTTTCTTTTCAGATATCTACATCGAAACATTTCTTTTAAGCAACTGTCATGTAATCCAGATTTGACAAAACTGGTATCAGATAGTTATCAGTATAACGATGAGGCTGAGATGTTCTATGAAAATCCGAGATTGTGGTTGGAAAACTATTACATCTCGTTAGTGGATGGAGCGAATAGACATTTCCAAAAACCACAGTTTATATTTATGTTCGACCACCTGGTTAATACATACAAATATGTACAAACACTTTTAGTATCTTGGGACTATAAATTATGTAAAGAGCTGTTTTTCTCCCACATACTAACTCATTCTCGATATGGCCAAACCATACGTGTTTACTGTCTAGATTATATTTGAGTTCACTTTTTTAATAGGATTTCCCTTATTTTTGTTTAAAAACTAACCGGACGAAATAAATTGGAATATTAACGTATAAAACGACTAAATCCTACGTTATTCATTTCAAGATACACTGGAGTATAATGAATTTCGGACTAAATTTCACAGCATAAGTATTAGCGAAGTATCTTATTACCAGTGATTCTCGTATAAAGTCAATTTATGAACGCGTCGTTTATAAGCTCTAATGAGTATTACACTTTAAAAGGTATTATGAAATTGGTCGATTTCTTAGCCATGAATAGTTATAATTTACTATAAAATAACCCTAAGATAATTTCAGATGATAAGACTGAACGTAATCTAAAGTTTCTTGAACTAGAATTAAGATCAACAGAAAGAAAGAAGTTATTAACTCTTTAGTCTATGCGAAAAGCTTCGCATGCAGTAACTAGGCGACTTTTTCTGTATGAATATGGTTAGATTTAGTCAATCATAGGAAAGGTAGGACCTGGCATGTATGTACTTCAGTTCCGTTTGCGATATCACATTAGCACGTCGAGATGAGTTTATCAAAACAAACGCCAGAATGGTGGGAGGAGTAACAGTATCAGTGGTAGTAAGAAAGATTAGGCATACAGGACATAATTTGAGAAATATGAATTCGTGAAATAGGAAAGGATTAGGTAATTTGAAACTCACGATCAATAGGATGACATTGAATCCGTTGGTGTTACTGTAACCGACTCGAAACTACGTCACCCAATGTCTCTAAGTGATGGTTAAGCACCAGATGACCATCTTCTCGAAACACTCAGTCAAACTTTCTTATGGTTATCACAAGAGGATTTTTGTCCTTATTGACTAGGATGGTCAGTAGTTAAAACCAGTCAAGTGGGATTATGTTTAGTTCCTAGATTCTAGCTAATATTTCAACCAATCTGAATGGTTAAACTGGACCATCATTCCTAAGGATCTTAATGGTTAATAAATCAGCTGCCCTCCGTCGCCTTATAATGACCACAACCTTTCCGACCTCACTAAATGTTACAAGGCTTATTTCAATTTCATAATAGTTAGAAACTTGAGAACAGTTTAAGTGTTCCTAAAAGAGTTCTGACCATCTTTCTAGTCGTCTGAGCTGAGAGTAAATCATGGTTACACGTTTTTTTAGAAATAGTCCTACTAACAGCTGAATTTCTGATACCTTCTTTGGAAAGTTGTCTACTATTACCTACCACTGCTCTTTCTATCTCTCTTGCTTTCGCTTACAACGACTGGTCGCGATCATTAGGTACACCTTTTATCAGTTTATGTTTAACTAGCCTTCGCTCCTCATTTTATTCGCAGCCTGATAGAATGTCTCTTAGCATCGACCAATTCAATTGACATCATTGGAATTCACTGACTTCTAATAATATTTTGGTTTAAGTCACTGATAGACATCACAGCTGTTCGGATACTATGCCAACCCACATTGAGGTGGACACCATTTCGATGGTTGTTGAAGGACATCTCTAGTTCTTCCTGGAGTATTTCCTTGAGTTTTTATCAATAACTGGGCACTAAGGAATCTTCCTTCCATGGATTTTCTGCATCTAGTAAGACGCTAGTAGATATGTGCTCGCACAAGAGCGTAATTCGAGTTTAAACATGTGCTTCAGAAAGATCGACGATCCCATGTTGAGCCTCTGATGATAAACGAAGACGATATGGTTTATTTGAGTCCATCATTGAATCGATTTTGAGGATCACTATGCCAGACAAAATCTCTTATGCTTGGAATTGCCATTTGCTATAGATAAACTATTTCCTGAGGATAGTAGCACTAGACGGCAGTCGTTGCCTATTTGTTGACCAGTACACCGTAGTACCCAACTAAGTACCTTTCAGTTGAATACAGACCACCTACTTATCCAATGAAACTACTGCATCTGAGTGTTTGTTTTTTTGAAGGACATCAGAAGGCATTGTGTAAAAATTATTGTGAGTATGGGCAGAGACGACGAATAGGCAACAGTGCGCTCTCCTCACCTTCTGAGTTCCTACAGTCTCGTTTAGTCGGACAGTACACAAGCAACCGTCTAATATAATCCAACACGGAAAAGCCTGTTTTGGTTTTAAACTTGACTCTATGCCTACGTTAGGAAGGCCATGATAAGTAGCGTTCAAGATCACAAATACAGGGTGGGTAAATTGTTCCGGTTTCTCAAATTGACGAGGCTAGGTCAAGCGAGCCACAAAACCTGAATATCGTATGGGAGTTTTGCAGATGTAACATATATCAATAGTTAATGAAGCCTGTTGTGGTTTGACGTTATGAATGAACAAACTCATTTGGTAGGTATTTGTGTACGAGCAACACTGATGGAAATGGCTCATGTTACTATCCGGTCGTCGAAACCGAAGGGGATTCGAGACTGTTACTGAAAGTCGAAGACCTCGACAGCTAGGCCAGCTTTTCTTGATTTGAGCTATAACATGGAGTTCATAGCATCGCTTTAAGATGTCATGGATATCAATTCTTGAACTTGAATAGTTAACATTAGAGTAAGATTTTTTATATGTGCAAAATGCCTTACAATCAAATGTCAACTTGCAAAGTCCAAGTTATTTACAATAGAATTTGTAATCATTATGTTAATATTTAGCGGAAATTATTTGTTGCACTCCGACCTTTTTTTACGAAAACAAGATTTTTCTGCTGACGAATTCAAGAGCTCGTTGGAGTTTACTAAACATGTACCATTCAAATCTGCGTTATAATTGTCATCTGTTTTCTTCGCATTATTAAAAGTATCTCCATTGTCTATCAGTTGGGAAGTGATAATTTTAAATTGTGTGGGACCATCTGAATCGACATCCATAGATTCAATATCTTTGTTGACATCATCTGACAGCTGATTCTCTGTGCATCTAGAAAGTTTACGGGCGAACCAAGCCTTTCGTTTGAGCTTCCGATACTTTTTCCTTCTTTCACGCTGCGCCTAAAACAGAGAAACATCTTCAGTTAGTAGAATTGGAGTTGTATACGAATAATACTAAGTGCATAAAGAGCCATTTTTCTCTAAAATACCTTTTTCTGTTCCTCAGTTTTGTCTGTATGTATCCCGTTTTTTTCAGCCCATATCCTCAAGTGTTCTTGGACAGTTTTTCCAAGATACTGACCATATGCTCCACATTTGAGTCGTTCATCTTCTATGACAGAGACACAAGGTTGTGAAGCAAGACCTTGCTGTTGGTAAATTGGATTGTGTTGGCGAAAACAGTCTGCACGACAAGCGAGGACTGATTTATCAGCAAGTAGACGAGCAGCACGACGATGAACTGTATCCCTCTGTACACGATTAGCACTCACAGCCTTCAACTCAGCTGCAGAAATACTAGAAGTTGCCGGTTGAAGATTGTCTGTAACTGTTGGAAATTTCGGATCTCCTAACATTTTAGTTGCGTTTGATAAAAGACCTGTAGATGTAGCCACAATAGCACCACCTTTCCTATAAATTCAGAAATACAGTTTGATATGTTTCATTTAAACAGTAATTCGACTCTCAAAAGTGAGTGATCACTACTTAAAGAATGGTGAAGCTGTGTACCTCACAATGAAGATTTGCGGATCAACTATCTCGACAAATATTTTCTATATTACGCATGAGAAATTTTGATTATTTAAATTAAGAATGTACCACCGGTGAAATTCTGGAAACATCGACAACTTAGTGGATCTTTAACTCGGAGATACTTTGTTTTTGGTTGCGTGAATGACATCGTTTAATGAGCGGTAACAGAAGTTCACTTAAACAATCGGCAGACCAGATATGATAAGGGTAGTGTTGACGCCAAATATATAAGGATAACTAAAACCAATAAGTGATTCCATCTTAAAACAGGCTTCGATGTTGTCACAGTAGTTTTGATGCTGCCCATGATTGCATAACCCTAAGACTAAGTGAAGAGCTGAGTAGTCACGATAGGGCGAGTAGCTGGGTCAAGTTGGCAACAACTGACATCACAAGAAGTTGGATAGGGTCTTGGGATTATGTATCTCATTGGATACGGCTCAGAAGAGAAGCTTGCACACACTAGTATATATATTTAATAGTATGTGCACTTTTGAGCATAAATTTCACTTTGATCTTATTTTTATTTGAAGCCAATCTCCCGATATTCCTACTCTTGTTGTGATTCTACGATTTTTACTCCTTAAATCTTCATAATATTACCACTTAGTTTATATTACGTTCCTTTGCCCTTTGTACAAAGCCTTTATGTCATTATAATATTTGTTTATTAATTATTCAGTAACTCAGTCAATTAGAGTCCCAATACAACTAACCTGAATAATCCTTTTGATGCCCCTAAAGACAGTAAACGTGTAGAAGGCATAGAAGCAAGTCGATTGAAAGAACCAGCATTAGCTATTAGACGTGCGGCAACCAAACAAGATGACAAATTATCCTTAGTCTTGGGAACCTTTCCTTGTTCTGCCTCATCACCTGAATGAAGTGTACAGTGAAGAAGAGCATGCAAATTAGGACACAAACTACTTATCCGTCGTGACAAGGAATCTACATACCGTTGTTTTACCTAAAACAAAAAGAAATAAGCGAAATGTTACTTTGGCTTTGATAAGGAAACGTTAGCGGACTTACTACGAGCTAGTAATGCCTTGTATTTTTTTGGATAATACGCATCTCAAAGGACATTCCTGTTAGTTGTTCTAGCTTAATAATACTTTTTTCAGCAGTAACAAAAACTTATAATCTCTTTAGAGCTATTCCACATCGAATGCCTTTACAACTATTACGACGATGAGTCTAAACAACAAGGTTTGAGATCTGATGTTGTATAAGGTATTCACTTATATACGCACAAAATATTATTGAATTGCATTACAAGCGGTGAACCCACCATACTCTCTGTACTTAATATTGAAGTTTGTTGCTTTGCTAGTTCATTCTTTATAAAAAATGCATAACATCTTAAAAGAGGTAACTTTGTAATACAATATTTTATCAAAATTGTTGCTAGTTTAAGTCATTCAAATCCAACAACTGGGGACAGTAATGGTCAGCAGAAAAGTGGAACCACATATATTGTTAAAACCAACCACAAACATGGGATCAGTCTATTATGATACAATAAGCTCTGAGTCATAACTGAAGG